TATTTTCTTGGGGATTTGGTCATCATTATCATCATCATCAAGTACGATGAACTAGTTTTGTTTTTCCTGGCCATTTTTTTTTTTTTTTGGGTAATGTGTCAGACTGATCGACCGACCAACAAACCAATCTGACTGACCCGACTGTAACAATGAATTTTCCAAAAAAAAAAAATCATTGAATTTTGATATTTTCTTCAAAATAAATTAAGGTCATTCTTGAACGATAATAGTAAGTTTTTGGTGGTGGTGGTGGTGGTGGCCACTGATTTCAATTTTGAGTTGAACAAAAAAAACATCAAATTAACCACCCAAAAAGAAAATTCAGTTGGTTTAACCATTACAAACCAAAGAAACTTTTTCAGTAATAATTATATTCTTTGAAAGATTTATTACCCTATTTTGCTGTTTTGAAAAAAGAAAATTTAGATATTATTCTTCGAATCGGTTGAATGAAAAGAAAGGGTTAAAATTTTCTCTCGTTTTTTTTTGTTTTTGTTTTGTTTGAAAATTATTTTCGTTGTTGTGATTATTGTCGACTTTTGACAATTTTACAACGAATGGGATGGATAATGGCTGATGGCATTGGCTAACCATCAAGACATTTTTATAATCATCTTATGGTTTGATGTATGCGTGTGGTCATGCTGATGTTGATCCTGATGATGATGATGATGATGATGATAATGGCGATGACATCCGGTCGACAACAATAACGACAATGATGATGATGATGATGATGAATAAAAGTAAAAGTTTTTGACATTCCAAGTTTGTTTTTTTCTGTTCACAGGCTTGTTATGTTTCTACAGAATGATGATAATGTTTTTTTTTCAAATTTTTTTCTTTTTTTTAAATTTAAGACGGATGTTTATTGAAATTTTCTGGAGAAAATTTCCCAGAAAGCTACAATCATAATTAAACGTAGAATATATCTTTTTTGGGAAAATTCCTGAGCCTCTTATTGTTGCCTTTAAATAGAGTGAGAATCTATAACGATCCAGAATAGTGAAGCAAAAAATAAGGAAGGTCATAGACCTCGATAATTTTGTTTTTGGATTCTTCTGGCTGTTTTTTTTGGATGGAAATAGAATCCTATGGACAATAATTTATATTCCTTACAGTTTTGCTTCTGCTGCTGCTACCACCATTATGCTATATAAAAATGTGTGTGTAACCGGAAAATAGAATGATTTTTTTTTTGAGAACAATAAAAATATTTTTTGAGAATTTTCTTCCAGTACTTTTTTCCTGCGTTGTATATATGGAAATTTTATTCATTTTTTGGTACCAAATGGATGCCACGAAGGAAATGGAACGATCATTTCAAAGATATCAGTTGGATATTTAAAAGAATTTAAAGTTTTTTTTGTTGTAGGGCATTTGTTTGAATCGTAATTCTATTTTTGAAGAAATTTTGATTTATCATTTGTAATTGATGTTTGAAAAAAACAACATTTTTTCGATTACTAATTTGATTAGAATTTTTTTGTTTTCACTGAAACAATTTTGGGTCATATACACAGAACATGTCGAAAGAATGAAGATATTTTTGGATGCGCATGTATCATTTTGGGTTCGAATGAAGAAAACATTGTCGACCTGAATGACCGACCGACCGACGAACCTTTCGGATCATCCAATGATGATGGTGGAATTTCGGAATCATTACGCATGCCATTTATAATGTAACCAAACATTTAGAAGAAGAAAAAAAAACGGGAAATGGAAAAATGAAAATTCAATTACCGGATATTCCAATCCAATTCAACAAAGAATCTAATATTGGGAAACCTTTGAATTTATAAAAAAGTTTAGAATTCTGCATAGTTAAAAATAGTCAATTGTTGACTTGAGCGAGAACAATTCTTGATGATGGATCTTCAAATATTTAAATATCATCTTTTTTTTTACACAAAAAAAATATTCCTATTCAATAATAACTATCTCGTTACTATAAGTTGAGTATTTTTAGAATATTTTGTTTGGTTACTATGTTTTTGTTGTGGTTATTGTCGTTGTTGTTGTTTTTTCTGGAACAATTTTTTTTTCTCGTGATTTTTTTTATAGTTCCAAATTTAAACATAAAAATAGACCAGAATAATTTTTTTTTATTCTATGCATGTTGTTTCATCATTGGGGTTTTGTCTATTTTTAGTAGTAAATTTAGTAAAAACACTACAAAAATATATAGAGAGAGAGAGAGAGAGTTCATAACATTGTACCAAAGAATCATCCAACAAAAATACAAGGCAATTGTACCATTAATGAATCAATATGACGACAAACGATGATGATGATGACGAAAACGATTCATTTTTTCCATTAATAATGATAATAATAATAATAATGGTAAGTAAATCAGACGCCCTGTATATAGCAGCAGAATTCTTTTTTTTTTTTTGCTATTCGGTTCAATTCGGTCATATTGGTAACATCCAAACAACATCACATGGTACATCTAATAGTGAGAAACAGAAACAAAAAAAACATCGTAACGATTTCCAATAACAATACCAAGAGAGTGAGAGAAAGTTTACCGAAAACGAAAAAAAAAATGAAACCAAATCGAGAGAAAAAAAGCCCGAAGTTCATTGCACTTTGGCCATTTTTGACTATAGCTTTCGTTGTGTATTAAGTATTGGATTATATAGATAGATATAGTGATTTTGGGTATATGATTCGCCGAAAAACAAAATGTTTTTTTTTTAAATAAACGATGTTGTACACATACAAATAACGTTTTCAAATATATAATACATTAACAGATACACACACACACACACACATCAAGGAAGCTTTCGGGTTGCCGAACCGAATGGTTGTGTATTTAGGGCTATACCAGAGTAAAAAAGAAAAATATTATTAACCAGAAAAAAATCCCATAGAATAATGTAAAACGATGGCGACGACGCCGTATACAAAATTCCTTTCGTTTCTTCATTCATTCTTGTAGAATTTTTTTCGTTTTGTTTCGAATTTTCATAATCATCATCATCATTAAATGCTGCTACCGACATACATATCGTGAATGAATTGAACGTGATGAATGGAATGAATTCTTTCGGGTTTTTTTTTTGTTTGGTATTTCGTTTCTAAGCCCTGACCGATCAAAGTTTCTAAAAGTGAAAATATATTCCTATTTTTTTCGAAAGAAATAATGATATTGATGGCACCATTTAACCATCCGCCCGCCGACTTGAAGAAATTGGAGAACCAGAATTCATTCATTCATTCATTCAACTTTTAGCCATCATTCATGAAATGTGGATGTATCACTACCATTAGTAGTAGTAGTAGTACAAGTAGCAGAAAGTTAACGGAATTCTATATACATTATCATCATGTCCTGATTCGGGTTAAAGTTCGTTGAACATCCGGATAATTTTTTTTTGCTTGTTTCCTTTTGCCGTTGTTGTCGACGAAGAAAATTCTGTTTCACATAAAAGAATGCATTTTTTACACACAGAATCCTTAATATGCAAATAGAATTTATTTCAAATTAAAAAAAAATAATATTCAAATATTCTGGGCAAACAAGAAAAATGAAAAAAAAGAAATGAAACAAATTAAATTTTTATGGGCAAAAAAAATCATTTTAAAAAAATCATTTCATTTAAATTTAAAGAAAAAAACAAAAGAAAAAAAATTGACAATTAAAAAATAGCACACACAAATAGCACAATAAAATTAAGAATTTTTTTTTTGTTGAGAACAATCGAAGACATGGATTAATTGATGATGAATATTTTGTTTGTTTTTTTTTGCTCTAAGTAATCCAATCAAATATTTATAAAATCTTTGTTTTTTTATGAAAAAAGATTATTATATAAATAAATAATATTCAATTTTCTTTTCGGAGATTTTGAATAATGAGAAAAATCTTGATTTGATTGCTTGCTTATTGTTTTTGTTTTTTTGATGATGATGATGATGATGATGATAATGGTGAACAATAATAATCTATAGAATTCGATGATGATTGATGATTAATATTGCATATTAGATTTATTTATTTGGACCTGTTTAAAATATGGAAATGGATTCTCTCTTTTTTGTTATTGATATTCTTCATTGCTGCTGCTGTACTGATGATTGTGATTGCAAGGATTTTATTGGTGATTGATCTGGTGTTGACTGTTGATGTTTTTGCTGCTGTTGATGATATTTACGTTCTTCCATAACTTTATCAAAACATTCATTTAGAAATATATTCTATAGAATTTTGGTTCATATTAGATAAATGGAAAAAAGTTTAAATGTCAAGATTATTTAAATTATTAAAAAAAACTTACATATGGCGTATGAATACGAACACGACGTAATTTATTATCCGGTTTATTATAAACGAATACAAATGAGATGCCTTCATCATCAACATACCATTCTTTTAGGGTATCCCATTGGAATTCAATTTTTTTATTCTAAAATTTAAAATAATTATTTTTCAAGATTTCGTTGATTTTTTTCTGATTAATTTTTTTTACCTCGATGGCTCCATCTTCATGACATGCTTGCAATTTAAATGAATCATAACCAACGATACACATAATATGACCTTCTTTACGAGCATCGGAAGCACAATGTGGAAATGTTATCTCACCATAACCATCTAATTTTCTGGCCAATTTTAAATACTTGATAATGATGAGGAAGAGAAAAAACAAAACAAAAATTAAAATATCAATATAAAATGATGAAAATAATAATAAACTTACTTCAGATTTTTTCGAAATTTCCTGTAAAGCTTTCAATTCATATAATTTATTTCCGGCTTTAATCTGTCCTTTATTTACATCTTCGATTGTTTGGTAGAAGAAAAATGTTTCAAGTAAATCTTGTCTTGAGCATAATTCGATTTCAGTTGGTAAATAAAAAAACCATTTTTTCATCATTAAACAAGTGGATGCGGCACTTGTATTCTGTATATTTTGTATATATAAATTATATGGAAATTCATTTGATTGTAATTTTCTTTCAAATCCTTGTTCAACAATTTCAAATATGGCAAAATATCTGGCTATTTCGGGTGAAAGGTTAATCTTTTCAATAATGGCATCATAAACATCTTTGGTACAGCTATTCTTTTTCACCGTAATCGTTATGGCCGTTCTGTTTGGCAATAAAATTTTAAGATCTACTGGCGTTTGATTTGTTCCCTGTTTGGACAATGTAAATCAGTATCGGATTTTATTCTTTTTTTTCAGTTAAACTTACATGTTCGTCATCATAATCGGTAAGAAATTCTTGTATTATATCACTTTCACCAATAACACGTACGGCACAAACTTTTTCAATATAGGATTCAAGACCACGACGTCGTGAATCTAATTGCTGATATGATAATGAGAATGGCCATTTTCCCGGAAATTTTGGAAATGTAAATTCATTAAATTCACGTTTAAGATTATTATGTAGATTTAAAAATTCGCGATAACGTCTTGAACAAAGATGTCTACCGGCCATATAAATATTAAAAACACAATAACGTTCACCATTATTTTTTTCAATCCAATTATAATCAGGTATTGTTATTGGTAATGAACGTTTCTCACTATAATCATAGACAAAATTATTTGTATCATCGGATGGTTCCAATTTTTCAGCCTCCTTACAAACAGAACCAAACAGAATTAATATTCTTTTCAAAAATTAAAAAAAAATCAAAATTTTACCCTAGGTGTTACGGATATAACCGTAAGGAGAAGTTTATCGCCACTAGATTTAATCAGATCGACAACTTGTTTATGTGTTGCACCTTCAACATTAACACCGTTTCTAAGTTTAATGTTGTGGGAAAACCAAATCAAATTAAAATTTTTAAAAAGGGTTTTTGTCAGAAACTTACACTTCAAGAATACGATCACCTTTACGAATACCGGCCTTTTCAGCCGCACCATTTTCCAAAACAGCACTAACATGTTGTAATGGTGCATATAATTCACCATTTATACTACGTAATGGACCACCTTCAGATACTTGTCCACGTACATTAAAACCGAAACCGGTTTCCGTTTTATAAATGGTCACTAAATGTGGACCGGAAACATAATCTCCTAATTTTGATGATGTGGGTGTTATTGATGATGATGTTGTTGTTGTCGTTGCTATTGTTGTTGATGATGATGAAGGAATTGATGATGATGATGATGATGGTGGTGGTGATGATGATGAAGATGATTCAGCATTGGTCATTTGATTATTTGGAAAATTTTCTGCCATCGATTATTCATATAAATGATAATAATGACGTAAATTCAAATTCTAAAAATTTTGATAATCAAATTTAATCGATCACATTTAAACATTGACATTGACATTGACTTACTTTTTTTTCAACTGCAAAAAAAAATTTATCAATAAATTAATTACGATATGGATTAGTGAATGTTCCCATTGGAAAAAAATTATGCATTACTTTTCTATTAATGATTCCCAATAATTATCATAATTGCCATCGAGTGATGATTGTTTTTTCTCAAAAGAATGTTGAAAATTTAAAAATCAACACAGCTGATATGGATGACATTTTATATTTTTAAAAAGAAAAAAGTCAAGAAGATAACCAAAAAAAAAAACATCTGAAATCAATTAACTTTAAAAATTCAATTCTTTTATTATTATTGTTGATTGAATACATTTATCATTCATTTAGGATTTGTTTTTCAGCTGATAAAACAGAAAAAAGTTCCAAGGTAATTTTTTTTCAAACATCTTACATCACTTATGTATTTGGAACGACGTGAGTAAGGATTCTCTTTCACCGAACACAATGAAACTTATCAATATCAACATCGATTGTATCGCCATCTAATATCGATTTCGGGTGTTATATTTTTAAAAAAAATTTCGAATCAATCCGATTTACTCCCGATTTTTTTTTGTAAAACAATTATCAATATGAATATAGGAAAAATCATTATCATTTAACAAATAAATGACAATTTCGTTTCGATATCATAGTTTTTTTTGTATTGTTAAAATTTTATACCGAAAAATTTTTTTTGTTGTCGTTGGAATTCTTAAAATCATTTACGTTTAATGAAATTCGAATGTTTTGTTGTTCAGGTCTTATGATTGCCACAACAACAAACTATTTGTTTACAAAATTATTTCATCTTTCTTTTAATTAATTATTCTTGAAGAATTTTTCTCTTTTGTTTTTTTTAAATTAATTCTTGTTTCTCTGCAGAAAAAAAAGGTAGGAGTGATAATTATTAAAACAAATTGCGCAAGCGCTTAATTTGATCGACACAGTTTTTTTTTCATTTATCAATAGTTAACGTTGGAAGCAACCGCTTCTATGTCATGTCAAACCCGCTTGTTCAACTTGTTCCACCACAACCACTATCATCATTTCGTCCACGAAAAAAAAAATCTGCCAACGAACTCAAAACGTCTCGAATAACTTCAAAAATTGCACACTGTCTGAAAATCAATTTCATATCAAATCATAAATCGAAGGATAGCAAAAAAAACAAACGCAATTAAAACATTTAAAATTATCACGTAAGCCACATTGGATTAGGATTGGAAATTTTTATCGAAAATAGCCCAAACCGTAAGAATAAATTGTTCGAAAATAAAAATGACCATGTTATTGTTAAACAGGCGACCATCATCATCATCATTGACCAATGTTAAAAGTTGGTATTTTTGTTTTGTTGAATTTTTTTTTAAAATATCATAAAATTTATTGATTATAGCATTGAATAAGGCTCGAAAATGGTATAAAGCGGTAATATTATCATCATCATCGAAATCTGGATCGGATTCAAATTCGAATATCGAGATCAATATTATTGATAATAATAATGTTACTATTAGGGAAAGGAATGAGAAACATCATCATTATCATTTCAAAAAAAATGATAAACATCAACGGTAAGTCAATTGATTTTATCCATGTGATTTGAAAATTATCAAAAATCCTTTTTTTTCAAATTCGATTTGTGTTGTTGTTAATGATGAGAACAAAATGCTCCAAACTGCTATGTGGTGGTATATTTGATTAACAAAGCTCATCCAAAAGAAATTTATAATTTTTGTATTTTTTTGTACACACAATCCTTACATTACCTATTACCAAAATCATTATTGATTGATTGATTTTTTTACGAATAAATCAAGTTCAATAGAAATAAACATGATTCATTCAAATCAAATCATGATTATCATTATTAAACACACATATCATCCACACAATGAGAACAAACTCTTTCGTTTTTTTTGTCTTCAAAAACTTTGCTTCGTCATCTAGAACAACAATTTATCATGATGATAAAAATATCGACGGATACTAATAATAATGATATAAAAACAAATTGATTATCGTTTGGCTGCTGATTATTGGAATTCATTTATCATTGTATCAATATCAAAATGTACATGATCAAATGTAATTTTTTTTACAGAAAAAAATATGGCTTGATTTTTTGTTTCCAAGAAAAAACAATGATGATGGAATATGAAATTTGATGTAATCATAAGAAAAAAAAACTCGAATGATATTGTTTGGTCTAACATCAACATCAACATCAACAAATCGTATGATGATAATTTAATGGACGTGCGCACTTCACGTAACCTGATAAATTATGATATTCTTTTCTTTTCTTTTATTTAAATGCCAATGGATTTTTCTTGGTGTTGTAAACATATATATTTTTTTTACCTAAACAGTATTGTTTGATATATATACAATTATTATACAACAATCTTGGATTATTGGTTTTCTGGTTCAGAACATGTGCTATCGATGTTTTTGTTGTTGTTTTGTGTGATGATAATTGGTGCGTTGTTGTTGCTGTTTTTTTAATGTTGAACTCAAAACAAGCAACACAAATGACATTTTATTATTGTTTTCTAATTGAAAAAAACATTGAATCATTTTATTTTTGTTTTGTTTTTTCGTTAGTTTAATCCAAATCCGGTTAAAAATATTTTATTTGTGTTTTTGTTTTCAGCAAATTTTTATATTTGTTCCAAAATCGTATCTATCATCTTTTTAATCGAATCAAATTTTTGTGATTTTCATAACCAAACACACACACACTTGAACAAACAATTATTATCTCTGTGTTTTCTACAAACAAACAAAAACAAATCCAAAGAAAGTGATAAAAAATGGATCAAAATTATCTAAGCATGATTTTGGCCAAAAGGTTTGTTTTTGTATTCTTTTTTTCATTTTCATTAAACATGAACAAACAAACAAAAAACAATTTATTGATTGCCATCTAGCGCCAGCTATTAATTTAAAAAAATATTTGAAAAAAAAATGAAAAATGTATCCAATGATTTGTTGAATGAAAAAGAAAATGTCATCACTTTACACCAAAACATCATCACATTTTATTATCTCTTTCAATGTTATTATGATCCTTTTTTTTACAAGATCCTTGTTTTTATCAAAACAACAACAACCACACTTTATAAACAAAAAATATTGTTTGTTATTTTCGAAGCTAAACCAAAACTTGTGATCTTATGATATTATCATTACTTGATGATGATGATGATCAAATGAATCGTGTGTCATCCAAATTGCTCACACGTTTATGTTGTTTTTTTTCAATGATTTCCTTTTTTCTTTGTATCAAAAATCGACTAAATTAGAAAAAAATTAATTGATTAGAATTTTATCAAAGTACAAAGTTCCATTTTGATTATTTATTTCCCCTCCAAAAAAAAAATCCGATACCAAAACGCCCGGTATATAAAAATGGCTGCAATTTATTTTTTTGGTTATTTTTTTGAATTTTTGATTAATTGATTTTTTCTATTCTTTTTTCTAAAATATTTACTTAATTTCAATCAACAAACAAACATTCTCAAATCATGTTGGTGGGAAAAATCAACGATTCTAATATCGATAATTCATCACGGAATTTGAAACAATCAAATAATGAAACAAATAATAATAATGATAGTGAGCCAACAAGTGAAAGTTCAACACAGATGCGTGATCAAGCATATGAAATATGTCGAAAATATCTTAGTGGTGAATGGAATAAAATATCCAGTGATGATATGATATTTAAAACCGTTAGGTTTGTTTTTTATTCATTTAAATAATCAAGGTTTTTTTTATTGAACAATTTTTTTTTGTAAAAACCAAATTAGTGGCGGTTTAAGCAATCTATTATATTATTGTTCATTACCGGCAACACATACACCAGTTACCGGTGAACCAAGTCAAGTATTATTACGAATGTATGGCCAATTATTGGATAGATATGATACAAAAATTACCGATTCAGTAATAACAATGTTATTATCTGAACGTAAACTTGGACCAAAATTATATGGAATATTTCCGGGTGGACGTCTTGAAGAATATATTCCTGTAAGTAATATTTATAAATGAACATTTAATTTGATTATTTTATTTGTCCTTGTTGAAAAAATTGTTGTCTGATAAAAGTGAATGAAAATATTGGCCATCAAAACTCTCGATTGACCAAAAAAAATCCATAGAAAAACAATGTGAGATATTGATTTTTTTTTCACTTGAAAATCTTCAAATAATGAGAGTTCGTTGTTGTTGAAACAAAACCCCTTCGTTCGTTCCAAAAAAAAATCTTTGCTTCAAAAAACCAAAGACAAAAATTTTGTTAATATTTGATTGTTTGTTATTTAATGTGATCTTTTTTAATCCGTTCTTTTTTCTCTTATTTGATCATATATTGGGTGGATCATATATTTTAATATAAATTATATAAATCTATCTCTATATATGTCGGTGTGTATTTTTTTCCCCATGAAAAATCAATCTATTCTAAAAATATATTTGAAAAAAAATGAAATTGAAAAGGCACGAGCAATGACTTGTAGTGAACTTTCCAATCCATTATATTCAGCAATAATAGCACGAAAATTGGCAATTGTACATCATTTAAATGTACCGATTAATAAAGAACCAACATGGTTAACGGAAACAATGCAAACATGGCTAGAACAAATACGAAAAGTTCCATTCAATTCGGAAAAAATGTCAACAATTGAACAGGAATTAATACGGTTTGATTATGAGAATGAAATTAAAATATTATTTCGTATATTGGAACAATGTGAATCACCAGTTGTATTCTGTCATAATGATCTTCAAGAAGGTAATATTTTATTACCATCCGATGATAAACATTTCAATTCTAAATTGCTTAACAATAATGTATTGGATACAATGACCAAAAGTGATGGTGATTATGATGATGATGATGAACAAACGATGATGAATGGCGATTGTAAACAAAAACAACGATCAAATTTTGATGATCATATTGTATTTATTGATTTTGAATTCTGTGCATATAATTATCGTGGTTCAGATATAGCAAATCATTTTGTTGAACGTATGTTTGATTATTCAAATCCTGAATGGCCACATTATTATTCATATATGGATCGTTTTCCAAATGATGATGAAAAACGTTTATTCATTCGTGAATATCTTAAACAATGTTCAGAACTTAATAATACTAGTGAACCGGGACCATACGATAATGAAGAACATCTTATTAAAGAAGTTAATTTTTATGCACTTGTATCACATTTATTATGGACATTATGGAGCATTAATAATGCACGTACATCGAAAATATCGTTCGGTTATCTGGTAAGATTCTTTAAAAATTTTACACCTTTCTTAATATCATCTCTAACTTTTTTTGTTGTTTCTATTTCCAAGGAATATGGTAAAACGCGTTTGGAAGCATATCAGATGCATAAAAAATTTGTTATTGAAAAATACTGCCTTAAAATTGACTGATCGATTGTTTTTATGATCAACACAAGATTATTCTGTTTTTTTTTCTATTTATGATATTTATTATCTGCATCACCGAGTTACCAAAAAAAAAACGAAATTCAATTGTTGCATGGAAAAATTTGTTTTTTAATAATATTTTTGCATCTTTACATGCATTTTTACACATACACACTCACAAATACAAATGTTTTAAAAACAGAGAAAAAATTTTTGTCAAATAAGCAAAAAAAAAAATGTATTTTGTTTTTTTCAATTTCCTTAATCTAAATTGATATTTTTTTTTGATTAATTTATTCGTTGAAAATATTATTTACCATTTCACACTGATACATTGATATTCGTATCTGAATCATTTGATCATTTCATATCCAGAAACGAAACAAAAAAAAATTTCATTAAAGATTTTGATAAATTAAAATTGAAAAAGAAAAATTGTTTTGAATTTTTTTCCACTCTTTGTTGACGATAATGACTTACATCGTATGAATTGGGCTTTTGGATTTTTTTTTCATTGGTTCAAGGCGTCATTGATTTAATTGAGATTTTGTTGTTGTTTTTGTTGTTGGAGTTTGGCTCATTATCATCATTCATTTTATTTTTTTGGTCCAACAATTGTATTGGACGGTGCTTATTATATTTTTGAAAATTATTTTCCTTATTTATTAATTTTATTAACTTGAATTTTGTCCGAAAACAAACGATTTTCTTCCGGACAAAATATTCTCATTCGACTGAATTTCATTTTATTTGTTATCGTCTGTTTTCTTTCTTCAATTTTCAATCGCAGTAGCTTCGTATCGATCTTTCGTATCGATCAATCGAAAGCTACTTATTCTTTCTCAAATTCTTTTCTTGTCATTTAATTTTTATTCTTTTTTTCCACACTCTTCGAATATCTGCAACTTTAACTGTGATTATATTGTTTTTGTTTCAATCATGGAAGGCAAACAATTCTAAACAGAATCAAGATGTTTGTGATATTCAAAAACATTAATTCTTTTCAATGGCCTTGTAGCCGTAATCAATCTTCAACGATTGCTTTTATCAAAGGTGAAGAAGAAAGTGAAGAAACTGGTGAAAATATTTTATTATCGATTGTTCAATTATTAGCTGCTAATCGAAATAAAAACTTATGGATCGACTTACAAAGTTATCTAACAATGAACAAACGGGAGCAATGGCTGGCCCATCATCATCTTTACGAGCACAAACAATTCGACAATCATCGTCGAATCATAATGGTCGAATGATCAATCCAAACAACAATAATAATAATCATTATGGTGGTAATCGTCAACGATTTTCCAATCAAAAAATTCGGGATAGAGAACATAAATCCTCGTCATCGAATCGAAATGGTAAAAATGACGGTGACAACAACCGTAAATTATTGACAAATAAAATACCAAAAGTAATATTGGCATCGGATTCATCAATCCATTATGGTTATCATCAAATGAAACGTTATAGCTATAATAATCATCATGGTAAAGAACGATTCGTACAGGCCAATTGTCAGTTTGTTATCTCATTTGACAAAACATTTTCCATTGATGATCATCCTGCATCAAATTATTCTGAATGTTTGCATAATCCAGATGCATCGATCCCATGGGAATCAATTGAAGAGATTCTATTCACCTGTAAAACTGATGATAATGTTCATTGTCCTATTTGTTTACATTATCCAACTGCAGCCAAAATAACCCGTTGTGGTCATATCTATTGTTGGTCATGTATGCTTCATTATCTTTCGTTAAGTGATAAAAAATCTCGCCCATGCCCGATTTGTTTTCATCACATTCAAAAGAATGAATTGAAAAGCGTTACGATTGTTTCCAAACAGAATCATTCGACAAACGATTTGATTACATTCAATCTAATGAAAATACGTAAAGGATCAACATTTGCTGTACCGATCGATTATGAGGAACAATTTGACCATTCGATTAATATTAAAAATTTCAATCAAACTTTGGACATGTTTCATAAAGTTTTTATTGCATCTCGTGAACAAAAAACACAATTAATCGAACGTGAACAGAATGAATTACAGCAAGAATTGTTTCAATATAAAGCAGATAATATGCCAGAAATATGTTTCGTTGAAAATGCATTAGAAGAATTAGCCGTACGGAAATCGATGTTGGATAAAAATCAATCACAAATAGATGAATCACTATTGAATTTCGCTATACTTGGATTAAAACCTTCTATTTCTGGTAATAATAATGATTATCATTATTTTTATCAATCTGCTGATGGCCAACATATATATCCACATTCAATTAATGTGCGTATGTTGAAACATCAATATCAAGAATTACGATATTGTCCACCGATAATCATTGGCAAAGTGATTGAATTACATCGTCAAACTATAACTGATGATATTCGTAAACGTTTTGCTCATTTACGACATCTTCCATTGTCCTGTGAATTTACCATTGCTGAATTGGAATTCATTAATGATGAAAAGATCGTTTCGGCTGAAACTTTGGAACAATTTCGTACGGAAATGAATAATCGACATCGTGACAGAAAACGACGTGAAAAAGCACAAAGAATTCGTGATCGTAATATTGAAATTGAAAATAACAAAAAATATTTCAATGTTCACCCACTGCCGAATTTTTCTATGACCGATGCAGATTTTCAACCATTGGAAGACGATAATACAGCAGCAGCCTTTGCATTGGGTGATGGAGCATCATCATCATCGTCATCAGATACACCACCATCAACATCACCAGCATTGCAATCATCATTTGCTAACATGTTAACTTCTGGTAAAACAAAAATACAATTCGATAATACTATACGTCGTCAGCAATCATCATCGAAAATAGAAATGACCAATAATGATGAGGATGATAATGAAGAACGTGTAACCAATTTAGATCTAACATTGAGCGATTATTTTGATCAATGCGTTCGTGTTGGTGGCAGTAATTCTAATGGCATCGGTGGTGGTAAAAAACAGAAGAGAAAGAATCGACAAAAGTAAATTCTACGAAAATTTATTTGTTTTTTTTTGCAAAATTTTCTTTAATACAAAATTCTAAATGATACAATTTATATCTTGGCTACATTTACAGTTCCACGCAGAATGATGATGGATTTAATGAATGCTTAATATTTATTTGCAATAATCCGAAATTATTAGATATTTCAATCACGATGAATGGCCTTCTCTTTGGCCATTGTTGATGTTGTTGTGAAAATCCTTGTCAATGAAATTAAATGATCGTAATACTAAGATGAATCAATAAAAAAATAATTATAATGATAATATTTGCAATCAACCGAAAAAACACAAACCTTGATGACAAGAAAAAAGGCAAACAGATAAATTAAAACGATCATCGTTATGAACAGATCAAATATGGCCGGTTTAGTTCTATTTAAAAATAAGAAAAATGAAAAAAAAATTCAAATAAAATTCTTTTTTCGCTTACTTATAGATGAATAAACGAGTTTCGACCGGTTCATAGAATACAAATTCGGGATTCTTCGCATCCACTTTATAATGTAATGTACGTACATTACCATCGGAATATTTTTTCATCATCATTTGCATGGTTTTTAACAATGTTGGTAATTGATAATTTTGTGAATCTTTTTGTGTCGTAAACAACAGATTCTGTGTACGGGGAACGTTTTGCAATTGCTTTGAAATAGATTTGATAAATGACTGTGATACGGAATATTCACCGGATAATAGATTTTCTTTAATCGGTCCATATAGTTGATGAGCTAATGCTTCACCAATAATGTTGATATAATTTTCCATATGATTTAATCGTTGTTGCTCATCACGTTGCCGAACATCAATCATTGTTCGACGTTGAATTATTTTCGATGAAGATAATGATGTCAATGTAAATGCAGATATTCGTTTGAGGCTAAAACGTTCATGTTCCCAGAATAGATAATCTTCGGCTAGATTAATTTTCTTATGAATAAGTGTCGTATTTATTTTTGAGTAATCACTGGATATTTCTTGTAGATTATTCCAGAATAATGAAGCCGGTGTTCCGGGTTTAGGTGGTTTCGATACATACATGAATAAACCATTTTCATTCATCGAATCGGCCAACGATTCAAGACAAACAGCAAATTGTATATTATCCAATAATGAATCACCATCCGACGATCGTGATGAATCGAAATTATCATCTAACCATTTTTTGGTACCAAAATAATTTAATTTACCACCACCGGATAGTAAAAATACTAGATTTGCTTTTGGTCGAGTTTTTATGTTCGAATAAAGTTTTGAGAATAATCTCATCAATTCAAGAAATATGATCACACCACTAGCATTTGAATCTGCACCATTTGATAAAGCCTAGACATTGAAAACAAACATAGATGATAAATAATATAAAAATATCACTATCATACCGGGATCATTGAATAACTATCATAATGTGAAACAATTACATATGTCGGCATCTGATCTTCGATACCGGCACCGATTAATTTTGTTTGAAAACTTGTTACAATCGGATTATTAATAGTTGTAACCTGTGGTCCATTCACGACAAATTGATAGCTATCGAAAAATATTTTCTGTCGAATCATTTCGGCAGCAGATTTAGTTGTCTTTGAACCTAGAGCTCCTTGATTGATGTTATTATTTTCAGATGATTCCATTAATTCGTCATATAATCTATTGATATCCTCATTTTCTTGGATAAAATATATGGGCAACGATGTTTCATTGGTTAACAATCGTTTTTCAATATTTTGCCATTTATTTAACTCATCCATTGTCACTGATTTATTTATAATATCATCATATATGATCAACACACCGGATACTAAAGATTCTTGTAGAATTTTTTTGATAAAAATATCATGAAAACTTTTATGGAATAAATCTTTCCATTTAAATAATGCACATTTACGGATAAAAAAATCCGATAATTGATTAGGTGTTAATGCCTCAAGATTGAATGTTGAACTACGTGAACCGAATTGACCATAAGGCATATCAATCTGATGTACACGATAGATAATAAATTGATTTTGTGATAGATTTGATGATCCAGCAATGGCTGTACCAGTTGCCATCACAATCGAACCTGCTGCCGGTGTTGTAATCACAAGTAAAATCGGTAACAATGTGAATAGATAATAGAATGGAACATAATCGGACACATTTTCAGCTTCGGTTATCATTTTCCTGTTTTTTATTGTTAAAAAAGATTGGCTTTTTTCAAGAAAAAATCACAGCAAAATTTCAAAAAAAAATTCTTTGAAATTTTCGATCACATCAAAATGTGTTTGTCTGTCGTCACTGCAGTGTGTAAAAAAAAACATCGAAATGTGCATCATATTTCGATAGTTTCGAAATGATAATCGATTGTATCGTTTATTTTTAAATTTTGAAAAATTGTCCAACTTTTATTCAAATATAATTTTAGATTAAATTTATTATTATTATTTATTCTTGCAACATGACCAATTGTTTTCGAACATCTTCCGGACGATGTTTTATACGATCAATAATATCATCATATTTATTTTTCGGATCAATTAAATGGCTATGAATATTTTCATATGTATTTGCTATCGCATTCAATGAATATTGCCATATTTTTTCATGAATTGTTGGATAATAAATATCATTCAATTGTTTCATAATGAATTGTCGTGGATTCTGTAGAAATTTATCAAATAAATTCAAAAATGTTACAACAGCTATCGGATCACACCCGGATAATGATGATAATGGAATGTTTGATTTGATAAAATCATTCTGATTAATTGCATTACATAATGAATTAATTGATAAGGAATTAATAATATAACGATATTGTTCGTTGACAATAACATCGGATGTGGAATCAATTTTTGTTTGTAGATTTTTCGAAAACGAAATTGTAAAGTTATATTTTTCAATTGTTCGCTGTAAACAATGATAACAATTTAAATTGAAAATAGTCATATCGATTGATGGAAGTTTTGATGCTATAATTATAATTGATTGTATACATGGTTCAAATATGGCCGAAAGGATTCGTTCAGTTTCAAGTTGTTGTTCTTCTTGACTGAAACTCATCGAACAAGGAATCCCATCCAATAATTCATCAATCAATTGAATATAATGTTGTAATTGATCTCGGAAATTAATCGATTTTGTCAAACTTATTATTCCATCATTTCGTAATGATAATTGTGAACAATAAAATTTCAGACTGTTATAACAAACTTTATCACTTGATAATAATATTTCTTTGATAAAATGAATAAATGAACAATCTTCATTAAACATTTCTTGAAATGTATGTAGATAAAAATTGATTATATTTTTGATGAGAAAAAAATTTTTCGTACGTCGAATCTGTTGGCCAGTCGATTGTGTCATTATTTCTTGTCGTCGATCATTAGCGACTAGACAATTTTCTATACGAATTTTCAGAATTCTTATCACACCTTCAGTTAATGATGAGATAACATTTTTGATCACATTTTTTCGTGATAATTCATCTTGATTACAAGATTTTAATAATGTTCGAAGCATATCTCTTTCGAATACAAATGTCTGATGTAAATAGGATAACATATCACGAATATAACGAACAATATCATTTGAATATAATTCCATTGCTTGATAATGTGTATTATTGGATGAACGTCCACGTGTTAATGCTTCAATGAATGAATGGGTAACGGCTGATCGCCGTACAATAGTATATTCATCCATACAATGTTTAAATAATACCTCTTTATGTTGAAGATATGCTAATGCATCAAAAAGATGTGAATGTAATTCAAGAAAATCTACATTTACCGTACGCAATATATTCACTGTCCATCGATATAATTTTTCATTGGCCATCTCTTCATATTTAGACATTGAATCCATTATTTCGAAACCAGTAATTAATTGATTACTAGCCAGTAATGTTTTAGCTTTTTCATAATTTGAACGTATTTTGCTTAATAATGTGAAAAAATTTTCATCAATTTTACATCCATCATTGCCGGTAATTATTGCTAATTCATCAGTGGTCAGGAAAAAATTTGCCAAAAATTGATTCAATGTTTTTTCATTATCATCTAATTGTTGAAGTTCGGTTTGAATTTGATTTGCTTGCTGAACAAAATCAGATGTCTGACATCTTAATTCATCAATTTTTTCCATCATCATCTGACATGATGAATCAACAAATGTTATATAATCGTTCAATTGTTGAAATTTTCGATGAACATCATTAAATTGTTCGGCAAATTGTTCATTGATTGCCAATGATTGGGTTTCAATTTTTGCCCGTAAATTTCGACGTGTCGTCAATGTATTATCATTGACTAATTCGGATACGTTTTTCAATGCATTCAAGGTATCCTAACATCAAACAAATCAGATAATCATTGATATATATGATATAGACAATGTACACTTACCGTATCGATTTCACAGTTGAGAATTTTTTCCACTTTTTTATGTAATGGATTCTTTGATGAATCGGTAGCCATAATGATTTTTGGATGAAATTATCTTTGAAAATCTGCGATGATGATGACGATATGCTTATGAAGCTTCAATTGAAAAGTACGGAACGTATTTAATGAATGGTATCATCGTCTTGAACAACACAAAAACATGTGATTTGTTAGGGCTTTCGATTCGAATATTCGAAACATTCAAATTAACATCAACATGGCATCGAATCAGATTTTGGGTCATTTATTTCGTATCTGTTCCAAACATCCATCATCATCATCATTACCATCATTGATTGTTTGTCGACAATTTCGCAAAAATGCATTCAAACCATGGTTAAAAACTTCGTTACCTGAATCGGTACAATCCGATGATCCAATTGTATTATCGGCAAGAAAATCATTTGGTAAAACAATAATACCTGAAGAATTATCCGAATTACGTTTTGCATATCCAGAATTTTTACCCATTTCCGAAGCTAAATACAGAAATCCTGTATTAGAAATGATAGTTCGTGAAGATATGATAAAACGTCGTATGATGATTGATATACCGGAATTTTATGTCGGTACAATAATGGCCGTCACTATAACCGATCATTGGGCATCGGGTAAGCTAAGTAAATTTGTCGGTATCTGTATTGAACGTAATGGACAAGGAACATTTGCTAATTTTACATTAAGAAATCGTGTCGATGGACAAGGTGTTGAAATACGTTATGATCTTTATAATCCGGTTATACAAGAAATACAAGTGTTAAAATTGGAAAAACGATTAGATGAACATTTATTATATCTACGTGATGCATTACCTAAATATAGTGAAATACCATTTGATATGGCACCAGAACCACCACGTAAATCGGGTGAATCAATACCAATCAATACTATACAGGTTGAAATGAAACCATGGCCATGGACAAGAAAATGGGAATATCATGATTTAAAAGGAATTAAAAAATTACCAAATATGCCTGATTATAATTATATTAATCGATGGAAACATCAAAATGAATTGGAACGTTTTGATTTAATGGCCGAATATCGTTCACATATACCTGAAGAACAGCAACTATCAATATGGAATCAGGTACAAAAACATCAAATTAGTGTAAAAAAATCACGTGAAATTGAACGTCGTCGTAAATTGATTAAATAAATAAATATTTTTTGGAAAAAATAAAATCAATTTTTTTCTATTTAATTTAATTGTAAAATTATTCTTTTAAAAATTGTAATGAAATTCAATAAATTTAAAGAAAAATCATCAAACGCCCACGAGCCATATACTGATTAGCACGTGTGCCATGCTTCATTCAACAAAAAAAAAACAAACGTCTCACACATGTTTTCTTAATACGCCTGAATTAGAATGAAAAAAAAATTGCGCCAAACCTTATGGCAGGCCTTATTTTTTTATTTATTTGAAACACTTTCCCACGATCTTTTCATGATAAAAAAAACAAAACAAAACTTTCTTTAGCAACCAAAAGAAAATTAGACTCGTGGCACGCGTGGCCAACTTGTTCTGTTCAAATGTATGGACACTTGTGGATATGATAGCAAAAAACAGAAAGAAAAGAATCGGCCTTTATAACATTGGTTATTTTGAAAGTTTAGTGAGTGCTAAAGTAAATCGCCAGAAAAAAATCGAAGCGTGGGAATGCAGATGTTTTCCAAATAAATAGAAAAAAAAATTTCACTGTTTTGTTTGAATTCCACTTTCTATCCCCGATATGATGAAAAATGTCGCGCACACACGTTCGATCTCGTTCCCACACTTTTTTTGTAAGTGCAGGTATTCACAGTAAGCTAGGTCTTTACATATGACCAGTGGGTCATATTCGAATAAGCTACATAGAGAGAGAGAGAGAGAAAGAGAGGGAAAAAAACAAAATCTCACAATCAATGAAGTTGACCTCATCACCAAACCAATTTGACACGTGGCCCATAGACTTTCGCTCAAAAAAAAGAAAATTCTTTTACATTTGATCAAATGTAAAATATTTATTTTTTTCAAGTGAAAGCAGTAATGTATTTTTTTCAAAAAAAAAAAGAAAAATGAAAATCCATGAGAAAACCACGCCTCGTAGGGGTAAATTAAAAAATAAAAAAAATTTTCACGCTCTCCTGGTCATCGATTCAATGAATGAATGGATAAATATGACCATAGGGGACTATGTAACCAAGGCCATAAATACATTCCATCATTATTATTTTTTTGTATAGAAATACAGATTTTTTCCCCACTCTCTCTCTCTCACTCTCAAACATTGTTCTGTGAATGTTCGACCTCGGTAGATGAGGAGGTGAAGGGTCAGATGATATCGTTACAACACAGGGGTCATCATCATCATCATCATAACGGGGAAGAAAAACTTGGCTTGTTGTGTGTTGGCCATTCAAAAGCTTTGATTTTCGAATGATAAATAAGACTTGAAGATTGAGAACTTGTTGTTGCTTCAAGACGATGGTGATGATGATGACGAAGAGAGAAGAAAATAAAGAGGCGGAGAAGTTCCCACGATCGGACGATCTTCGTCATAATCATCGAACAGCAAACCAAAGTCTTCGAAGAAGAGAAAATATTACTGGCAAATGGTAAATAATGGTGATGATGATGATCATCATTATTATCAGAATAGTAAACGTGATGGCACGCGTCAACAACGTATCGTGGCCCAGCCAAATCAGCCATCAGTTAAATTTGGTATTTTTTTCAACGTTCAACGTTTGATGGTGTCACCACACCTTGTTCTCACGCTGTCGTTTCGATTCATTCGTTCATCATCGTTATTTTCGATCATTGGCATTTTAGTCCAGCTATGCACAATGTTGTTGTTTTGGGTATATTCGATTATTTTATATAAACCATTGATGATAATGGTGTTGGTGATGATGATGATGATGGAGTGTGACCTGTTTTAATGCCACGCGAATATTAATATTCGTCTTTGATTTCATTAAACATACAAGTGATATTAATGTTTGAAAATATCGATGACAATTAAAATCAATGAAAACAATTATTAAAAATGATGATACATCATGTGAAAGGGTTAAAAAATTTTATTAGATGACTAATTATTCGATGAATCATCATCATCATCATCAGTATTTTTTTTTTGGAAAATGATAACGTTGTATATTGAACTTATTTTGATTATATCAAATGGATGAAGACGATGATATCTTTGATTCAATATTAATATCGATATGAAATAATCAGAAAATATATTAGAAAAACAAACAAACAAAATTTAATCAATGGGAAAATTTCTTAATTTAGTTACTAATAGATAATCTTCATAAACATTCGAATCATCGTAAATCGAAAGGATTATGATTGTGTTCGATACCATCGAAATAATCGATTGTCCAAAACATTCGAATTCGAATATTCTTTACATCCGTATTTTGTAGAAATAATTTTCATAAAATATTTTTTTTAAAAAGAGTTATTTTCACATCAATTAATTTTAATTCCAAAAACGTATACTTTAACATTACAAATATCTTTACAATTGACAAATATCGTCTGTCGAAAAACGATGACAATATTTATTGATAATGATATGAACACCAAAAAAAAAATCTAACACCCCTTACAAACAAACAAAAAAATTACCATCATCATCCAATCCAACCGTCAAGCTAAAATTTTATCTTCGAAAATCATTCAAAGCCTGTTGCGCCCGTTGTTCGCTTTACTTTTACCACACACAACTTGCTGATCGTGGGAAACATACACACACAGGTGCAGTTTCATGCAAGCCCGATTACACCCGTCGTTGTATAGAGTGAAAAAAAAATTGTCCGGTTGTTGGCCCATAACACCGTATTACATATGTGAGTCTTAAACTATACTATTGGTTTTAAAGAAATGATGTCCATTTTCTTTAGTGATTTGATAGGAGCGTGGGAACGCGATCATCAAGCCAATCCAGACATTATCATCATCATCGATTTTCAATGCAACAACAATAACAACAATATAACCAAGTCAGATGGTCAGTCGCATGTCTTCGACAATCAACCAACAAGAACATTGAATGAATGAAAAAAATTATCAACGATCACAGAATAAAAGAAAAACGCGTGCCTTTACATTTGGTAAATGTGTGCACTATTGACCTCCTCTCTCTCTCTATCTCTCTTTCTTCATTTGTTTCCCCTCTCCCCACACCATCACCATCAAAACCAAATATTGCAGGGTAATTCTCGTCTTAATGTTGATAAGAAAAAAAAACATATAGAGAAATGTAAGAAAAAAAAAACATTTCTCAGTCGAGATCGTGGGAAAGTGCTTGTTGAATGTTTCCCATATCTCAGCTCGATGATCGAATTGCCTGCCGCGCGTAACGATCGCGGTCGGTTTTTCTTCTTCAATTTTTTCCCCTCGAAATACCAGCACCACCACCATTCAACAGCTTGCTTTGCTTATGTTAAAGCTGACCTCAGGCGGCAATTCACCATTATTCTCTCTCTCTCTCTTTCACATACAAAATATATATTTTTGAAATATAAAAAACAAGGCTTAAGCTCACTCGCGCGACTACATAAAGATTTTTTTTACACTTGGGTAAAGTTATTTTTTTAAAATAATTTTTTCGTTCCCACGCTCGGGTCGAATCACCATCATCGGCATTCAGCCAATCGACTATTCAATATGATGATCATCAACATCAACAGGCAAGCTGAATGAATGAATGAATATGAACAGACTGCTGCCGTGCAAAATGCCAGAACATACAAAGCCAGGCTATTGGCATTTTTAATTTTCAAAAAAGGCTGGATTTTTTTTGGTTTTTTTGAATTGATCAAAGTAACTAAAAGTAAAGCAGGCGGAGCAACAAGTGTGTTTGGCGTGTGGTTCTGGACTATAAATATGAGTGGCTTTTGATCATTTGATTCTAGGTTAAACCTGGAAACGATCATCATCGATTTTCTTGAAAAGCCTAACCAAGTAAAAAAACTCATAGACTTTAGTCTTATTTGAGACTTAGAAAAAAATTGTATTTTCCCGCGACAAACTTTTTTTTTTGAAAAAAATTTCCAATCGAAAATGACTGCCAATCACGGTACCGTGGAATCATCCACAACAGAATTGATCCGTCAAAAACCAATGACTAAAGCATCCGAACATCGACGTGTAAGTATTGTTTGATTTGTTTTTTCTTTTAAAATTTTTTTCAAAAATAAATTTAACTAATCATTTTCTCATAATTTTTCTATTACCAAAATAACAGATTACAAAACCAATTATGGAAAAGAAACGTCGTGCCCGTATCAATAATAGTCTGAATGAATTGAAAGCATTAATATTGGATGCTTTGAATAAAGATCCATCTCGACATTCAAAATTGGAAAAAGCCGATATTTTGGAAATGACTGTTAGACATTTACAAAAACTTCAACGACAACAAATAGCCGCAACAATTGTTAATGATACAACACAATTGAATAAATATCGTGCTGGCTATTCAGAATGCGCAAATGAAGTTGGCCGTTATATGGGCAGTATGGATGGTGTTGATCAATCATTACGACAACGTATTCTAGGCCATCTTAATCATTGTGTTAATAGCCTAAATCAAATGGCTGCTAATAATTCTGCAGTACAATTTGGTGGTAATCCGGTGACAAAAACGGTTGCATTTCCTGGTATGATACCAGCTCAACAAACCAATCATTTACATGTTCAAATACCTGTTATGTTTGGCCAACAACAACAATTCATTGGACAAAATGGTACTGATATTAATAATAATCGTACAACATTTTTGGATGATGTTTATGTTAAACATCAATCTGGAATTTCAACAACAGCAACCACAACAACACCGCCACCATCATCAGCATCATCATCATTATCATCACATTTTGCCTTTAATCTTCATTCACCATTATCATCTCCATCATCGAAACCAATTTCATTAACAACAAATGATTTATTTTATCGTAAAAATTTTCATCATCAACGACAACAACATCAATCAATAAGTCCCGGTTCAATTTCTTATACGAGCGAACATATGATGATGAGTCCAATCGGTAGTGATAATAGTTATAATGATGATCAACTGGATATGGCTGTTGATTGTACAATATCAAAATCATCATCATCAATGAATGATGAAAATGTATGGCGTCCTTGGTAAAAAACAAAAATGGACAAAATTCAATGAAACCAAATCCAGTCTGGTCAAAATTGTACAGTTACAAATGACAATCATTTACAAACACACCTTATATGCCTTTAACAAAAATGATGCCTTATATTTTTTCTGTAAAAAAAATCAATAATTGTGATCTCATTATCTCATATACAATGTAATAATCATCATCATTAACATTTTTTTTTTGTAAATTTATCAAATGTCAAATCGAATCAAGAAAATTATCATTATCATAAGATTTATTTTCTTGGCATTCGCATATTGTGCCTTTCTTTGTTTTTTTCATTAATTTTGAAAAAAATTCTCTAAAGAATTATTAAAATAAGAATAAATATGATTTATAATTGATCTCGAAATCAGAAAAAAAATTGTAATTTTTTCATTCAAAAAAAGAGAGAAAGATTTTAAAAGAAAAATGATGAGCGAAAATCGTTTGACCGTGTATCCGGTCATCACATAATCATCATCAATTATCTGGTGATGTCAGATTTAATCAAGTCATTTTTTTGTTGCAACGAACGAAAATTTTTGGTCACTTTTTTTATTCAAAAAAATCAAAATCAATTATCTTTTTATTCGGACACTTATGTGACATAAGATTTACGTGTGTGTGTGTGTGTATGTCGTATTCATTATTCAATCAAATGGAGAAAAATTTAAACCTAGGTAGTTGATCGGTTGGCTGGTCGGTTGGTTGGTTAGGGCTCATTAATTTAAATAAAACTTGTCATAGAACAAGGATGATGATGATGATGATCATTATTATTACATAAGACAGCTAGTGACAAAAGTTGTTTATTACGTTGACACTATACGTTGTTGTTGTTGTTGATAAAAATGTTCAACATCAACAACAACAAAGATTTATGAATGATTTTTGTTTTTGGTCAAAATTTTTGGGTAAAAGATTTCATTCAGAAATTTACCTATTCTATAGAAAGGTGAAAGGAAATGAACAATTTTGTTGTTGTTGGTGGAATTAATTCTTAAATGAATCTTTTGTAAATGAAATGATTTTTTTTTTGGTCAACTTTAATTATGATTATTCATAATTATAATGATAATTGGACATTTGACAGCATCCAACCAAGGTCTAATCATTTTATTCTGGTTTATTCTGTAAGGGGATTCTATTATTTTTTCCTGTTCATTCATCATCAATCATCATCGTGTTATAATGACAAAAAAAGAAATGGTGACCTGAAAATCGGTGATTTTTTCTTTATTTCAAAAAAAATTGAATCGATTTTTAATCACATCATTTTTAATTCATCATCAAACAGGAAAATGCAAATTTTCTGCTTTTTTTAAAAGTAAAGCGAAATTCCGGTCTAAGGAAGAATATTTGTTTATTGACAAACAAAAAATAAGTTCAAACTTTTTTTTTGGAGAAATTTTCTAAAATTTATTTTGTGAGATTAATTTTTTTGGGTTAATTTTTTTGTTTGTTGTTTACTAAAGTCAATGAAAAAAAAATCAATCATCATTTTTTCCATGAGTTTCTAGTTATATAATTAATCAATTTGATTCATTCATTCATTTTGTTGTTTACATAAAATTCTTTTGAGTCAATTCAAATTGCCACACCTCATCATGGATTTAGTTATTAATTTTTTCTGATTATGATGGATTGATTTGTGGGCGGTTGATGTGTTGGTGGATTTATTTATGGTCGTCACACAGTTTATCATCAAAATCGGAAACAAATATCTCTCACCCACCGCCTTTATAATTTGAATATTTTGATTGATTTTTAATTGTCCTTGAACAAACAATCTTGACCTTTAAAAAAGTATAGTGTGCTCGGTTGTGCAATTTGAATTTTTTTCCATTAAATTAAAAATTTTTTTTCAAAAAAAAATTATTAAATTGTTTTGCAACGCCATCTGTTATTGGGCCATCATACCAACTGTGAAGCAACTATTATAATCTAATCATGATAATAATTTTGATTTAATCATGATCAAGGTTAAAATGGAATCGAACAATTTTTCATTCATATTTTTTTTTTCATTGTCCCTCTCTTACTCTTTTTCAATGTTAATGTTTTTATTATCAAATTGAAATATCAATGATCAATGTCAATTTTTATTCAAGGATAATTTCAGTTGAATCAATATTGCTCAAATGATAGAAAAAACAAACAAAAACATTTGTCATTATCTTTGTGTCTGTTGTTTTCATTGAAACAAATTAAAAAAAAACATTGAAATTCCAATGAAAACAAATTATGGTCATGTTTTTTTAGTTGTATGAAGGGAAAAAATATTTTAAAATCGATCAGATTAAACTAATTTTTTTGAAAAAAAAACCAATAACGAAGCAGACATCCGTATTTATTCGTAAATTTATTTCCATCAGAAAAAGAAATTATCTTTCATGAAAAAAACATTGAATGATCAAATAAATGTTCATGTATATAACAGATCTGTATACAAAATCAACAGATATTTTCAACAACAAAAAAAAAGAAACGAAACAAGTATTTTGAATTTTGTGAAAGTTGATCATTCAAATATGCAATATTGCAATGATGATGATGATCATATCGAATGAATGCGCATAAACGTTCTATGTACAACATCATCATCATATCATCATCACCATAACTATATCGTCAACATCAGATGATTATTGTTGTTATTGTTATTGTTGAATAAAATTAGAATCCTGAAGAATTCTTTCTCTCAATCTAATACCAATTTAGTTTATCAGTGGATAATAAAAAAATTATCTTTGTGTGAAAATTGAAAAGTTTTTTTTGCTTCTTCTTCTTCGATATCATCTGTTTGTGAAATTGGTTTATTTTTTTTCAACAAAAAATTTAGCTAAAATTAGTCAAATAAAATTATAATGTTTCGACGAAATTCATTCATTATATTGCAGAATAATTTTAAAAATCATCATCATGATTTACGTTTTTCATCACAATTGACATCATCAGGTGAGAAGATTTTTTGAAATTCATGATTTTCATATTTTTTTTTTTGTCACAGCATCGGATGATAATCGTTATGATAAATGGCGAATAAACCATTCTAATAAGTTTAGTTCAAGTTCCCCATATATTATCTGTCTGAATCGATTACATACAAATATTGTTAATCGAAAATCTTTTGATGGAATTCGTGGTGGCAGCGGCGGTGGCTTCGATAAAGGACAAACAACAAATGGCAGTCCAACGAATGGTTCCGGTTCAAATCATACAAGCGGCACTAGTGGTAGTGGTGGTTCCAACAATAAAGATAAGAATTTTCTATGTCCAAATTGTGGTAATGTTTGTACACAGATTGAAGAATTTCTTTGTGAGTATAATTGATAATGACGATGAATTGAAATGAATTTTTTAAATCAAATTTTTTTAAACTTATCGATAGCATCCACACGTTTTGTTAAATGTGATAAATGTGCAAGATTTTTTGTAATATTATCCGAAAACGATTGCAATCGTACGACAACGGCAAAAGAACAACAATCGAATGCGACGGCATCATCGCCGAACATACAGCAAAAAGTTAATGAAAAATTCAATGTACAACGAAATCCACCGCCACCAAGAAAGGTGAATGATTAATTTGTTTCGAATTAAAATTAATTGATTAATTCTATTCTACATTATAGATTTATGATTATCTGGATAAAAGAATTATCGGTCAAAATAAAGCGAAAAAAGTTTTATCGGTTGCTGTTTATAATCACTATAAACGTCTCAATCATAATATATTATCACAATTGAATAATGTTAATAGTAATAATCGTAATGAAAGTAGTGAAGGATCATCGAAAATCATAAATAGTAGAGGTAATTTTTTTTCGACCTGTTCATTTTTGGATAATTCTTTTTTGTCATTAGATGAATTCATCAACATTCCTGGTACCAGTCCATTTGGTCTACATTTGCAAAGTTTTCATCCACATGATACACCTGTTCATTCACCAGTTGATAAATCGTCACAACAACAACAACAGCAACAGCAACAACAACAACAGCAACAGAATCGTGGAAGCTTTTTATTGGATGCAAATCAATCGGATATTCGATTAGAAAAATCTAATATATTATTATTAGGACCAACTGGTAGTGGAAAAACACTTTTAGCTCAAACAGTCGCCGTTTGTTTGGATGTTCCATTCGCAATCTGTGATTGTACAACATTAACACAAGCTGGCTATGTTGGTGAAGATATTGAATCGATAATAGCGAAATTACTTCAGGATGCTAATTATAATGTGGAAAAAGCCCAACAAGGTATCGTATTTCTTGATGAAGTCGATAAAATTGGAGCCGTGCCTGGTATACATCAATTACGTGATGTTGGTGGTGAAGGTGTGCAACAAGGTATGCTTAAAATGTTGGAAGGTACATTAGTCACGATACCGGAAAGAAATTCACGTAAAATGCGTGGTGAACCTATTGTCGTGGATACAACAAATATTTTATTTATTGCATCTGGTGCATTCAATGGATTAGATCGAATAGTTAATCGACGAAAAAATGAAAAATACCTTGGCTTTGGAGCACAATCATCCGAATCACAAGGTCGACGAGCAGCTACGGCAGCCGATGTTGCTGATAATTATTCAAATGATTCATCATTGCTTGAAGATATGATTGAAAAAGATCAATTATTAAGCTCGGTTGAATCCAGAGATCTAATTGAATTTGGCATGATCCCTGAATTTGTCGGTCGATTTCCTGTGGTCGTACCGTTTCATAATTTAACGGAAAATATGTTGGTACAGATTTTGACCGAACCACAAAATGCATTGATACCACAATTTCAGAAATTATTTTCAATGGATAATGTTGAATTAACATTTGAACCACAAGCATTGAGAAGAATAGCTAAAGTTGCTATGGAAAGAAAAACTGGTGCACGTGGTTTACGAGCCATTTTGGTAACTATTATTACATAATTTTTTATTGTTTTTTTCAATCTTTTTTTTTCATTATTTTCAGGAAAATGTTCTACTTGAACCAATGTTTGAAATACCTGGTACTAATATCCGTAAAGTTCATATCACTGAAGAAGTTGTGATGGGTAGAAATAAACCTGGCTATGAAGATGGTAGTGGAATGTCCGATTCAACATCATCATCATCATATGATAATGTTCAGGATATCGATGATAAAGAACGGGCCGTTAATCCTTGATGATAAAGACAAACATGCAACAACATCGCACAATAGGAAATTCATATTTTTCTTATTTTTTTCTCGTTGAATATTTTAACAAATTATCTTTTTTTTGAATTTTCAATATAGTTTCCATTGGTTATATATGATGTATATATATTGTTTGACACATTTACATTCACACACACACAGATTACACACTCATTTAAATAAAACAATATGGCTAATTAATTGTTGAATTTATCAATTTGAAAAAAAATTTGGATCGATTAATTGATAAATTCCATATATAGACGTTATAGAAAAATATTCTTAATATTTTTATTTTTAATATTTTTGTTTATCATCTTTGCATACCAGAAAAAAAAATCAGATAAAATAATAATAATAAATTCCTGATGACATAAGGTCATCAGCTCAAATATAAAAAAAATGTCGAGCTTTTTTAATTAATTAAACATAATTTAGTTGTAAATAATTAGTACAATTTATATATATAATCTATGAATTTGTGTGTGTAGTTGTTGTTATGTTTGACAATAATTTTAGTATTGTAAATATTGAATCATCAAAACGAAAGTTGTTGTTGTTGTTGACACCCATTGCCTTTATAAAAATGAATGAAGGGAAGAGGAAAATATTTATCAATTGGTTAGAATTACAGAATCCGTAACAGGTTTGTTTAGTTTTTCGATTTTATATCACACAAACACATACCGATGAAAAGTGATAGAATTTTGGTTTTTTTTGGATCGGATTTTTTTCAAAAGTTTTAATGTTGTTGTTGTTACTGTTGTTGTTTTGGTTAAAGAAGGGAAGGAAATTTTGAAAAAGTTTCTTCGTTTTGTTTTTCAATAATATATACCAGAATCATCAATCAATCTTCATTGTTAGTATTTTTTTCGGTTTGTAGAAAACATCAATTTTCATTATTTATCACAACGATTTAAGTTTAAAAAATTACAAATAACAATTATATAGAGTTGATGATGATGATTAGGGCCAGAAACGGAAAAAATTTAATCTAAAATTTAAAAATTTTACAATAACTTGATGGAAACGAAAAAAAAACGAAACAGGTGACAATGAATTGAATTTGTTTAAAACTAAAAAAAAGAATATTTTTTTCCCCCATAGAAAAATTACTTTCAAAAGCAAGACTTTGATTACGATTCAATAAATTTTTTTTTTTGAATTTAATAAATCGATCTCAAATTGGCAGTGTCTTGTAGCTTGTTTTTTATGTGTAAATTCAGAATAGAAAAAAAGAATACATATTATTTACAGAAAAAAGAAAGAGAGAGAATAACAACAATAAAAGGCCAACGATAAATAAATGCCTGACAGAAAAAAAGGGTTAGTGCTATAATAATTCTGATGTTTTCTTTTAAAAAAATCCAACTTTGAAACTTGATGATGATGATCCGGAATTTACAAAAAAAAAGATTCACAATTTTATAATCGATAAAAGAGGGTGATTAGTTTTGTTGTTTCGGTGTGTTTGTGAATGTTTTCTTTTTCATTGATAGAAAAAAACAAATTAAGACAGATTCAGAACAACACAACAACAGAATAAAATGCATGCACAAAAAAAAAGAAACAAATACGAGAACTCTAAACTTTAGTCATTTTCTATATGTTTCTAGATCGAAAAAGAAATGAACGAATTATAAATCAATTAATTAAACAACAAAAAAAAACTGATGATGGGTTATATTAGGATTGGAGGATACGTCAAGTTTGTATTGTGTTGTTTTGTTTCAGTAACGAATTTTATCATCATGTAATGTATGTTTTGTAAATTTTCATCATTATTATTATTTTTAAAATCAATTAATCAAATATAAAATATTATTATTAACAAGGCATTTTCATGGTTCCAAAATATTATCGTTCATCATTATCATTAATTAAATAATTAGTGTTTTTATCATTCTTTTTTTTCCGGATGAAATTTGCAAGAAACAAAAAACAAATAAAAAAACAGAGAACCAAATCATTATAATTTAAGGTGGGGTGTGTGTGTGTGTGTAAAATATGAGAAAAAAAGCATCTATTTTTTTCAATATAATAATAACGAATAATATAATTATATTGGATTGATCTGTATATAATAATCATCATTTAATATAAACAGTCGAAAATGTCAAATCGAAAAAAAATTCTTCCCAACCGAAATGAATTAATTTGAAAAAATATATATTAGAAATCTATAAGATGAGGATGACGATGATGAAAGAAGAAGTGAAGGATGTTACATTCGTTTCTTTATAGTAAAAAAAAGAAGCGAGTTGTCATGATGTATGATGATAATGATCGGTAGTAAATTGATGAAATTAGATGATGATGAAAGTGAGAGAGAAAAGAAAAGATTCGTAATAATTATGCAAATTTATGTCAATGTGGTTATATAGGCATGATAATGAAGATGATGATCATCATTTAAAAATGATTGAATGAACAACATATGAAAACAAAATGATGTATTTTTTTGAGAATGAATGAAAATGAAGAATATCAATTTTCAAACAAGCTGTTGATCCGGTTGATCAATTGAAAACAATTCTTTATGTAAGGCAGGAAATATTAGATGTGATGATTGGCGACGAAATTTATTCAATGCTTCCATATGTAATATTGATAGTTCACGTAATTGTCCCGATTTGGCTAACAATATATCGATGATTGTAACATCGCCTTTAATGAAAAATGTATTCTTATGTGTACGATTTAATTCATTACGTAATGCTTTCATTATGGCTTGATTTAATCGTTGTATCTCTAGAATGCCTTTTAGGCCAGATCGATCTTTATATTGAATTTAAAAAATAATTAATTGATTAAAAAGAATAATGAGTTTTTTTCATACCTGGAGATATTAAAACATAGGCAGAGAATAAAGCCAATTCAGCTTCAGTCAATTTGAGATCAGCCAAATGTTCGGCAAATTGAAATGCTTGTGATATTAATTTTGATTCAGTTATATCAGCTAAAAAATAAGAAATGGAAAATTTTCAACAACAAAAAAATGCATTAGAATTGGCGTTCATCGAAACCAGTGAAAAAATTCTTCGTAATCATCTAACCTTGACTTAGGAATGCATCGATAGGCATAAGGCCACCATTAAAAACAACTTGTTTAGTATTTAGATCATAATAACGTGACATACGTAAACAACAAAGTTCAAAACTTCCTGTAATAGTTGTAAAATAAAATTTGAATAATATCCGCATAACAAAACGACGATTACCACAAACAATTTCTATACTTACCGGCTTTAAGTAAAACAATTTGATCATCTTGTGATAATTTCATAAAACCGGGTATCATTTTTGCAAATTCAATTATCTGCTGTATCATATCGGTCAATTTATCTGCACATCGTAACCATTGTTGATCATGTGACTTTTAATTATAATTAAAATTTTAAGTTAAAAATAAAATTTTCCAACAGCATTTTATACGTACAAGATTTTTGAATTCAAAAACACGACTAAGATCCATTGGTTTACGTTTACAATCGATAATCTGTTCGGTTGTCAATAGACATGTTCTCGTATGTGCATCGGCTACAGTTTTTGTTAATAATTCTGGACGGATATAACGGAAAAAGAAAATTTTAAAAGTTTAAAATATAAAAAAATAACCAAACCAAAACAAAATCAGAAAAATGAGGCAGGAAGAAATATTTCCCAGGAACAACTAAAAAGAGTGACAGATAGAAAAAGGTACCTAAAGGATTATGTGGATGTTGTATAGAAAAATTATAAACGCCACCGCCACCACCATCAAAATTACTACTACCACCACCATCACCATCACCTTCAATGATAGTAGAACCGGGTGTTAATAAATTTCCGCAGCCAACAATCAAATTAGCATTGGAATTATTATCATTATTATTATTATTAGTATTAGGAGTATGAGCCGAATTCATTGAACCAAATACAGCATTAAACGAATAATGGTCAATAAACGAACCTAAATGCGAATGATTTGCCGTTAATGTAACCAAACAATTATTATTATTATTATTATTCTGCTGTGGTGTTGTTGTCGTCGTAGATGATCCACCACCAATATGATTATTATTATTATTATTGGAACAATCGTTTGGTGAACCCATCATTGTTGTTGTTATTGTTGAATTTAATTGATGTAAATTTGTATCCGGTGACATTGTCGATGTTGATGATGATGCTGTTGGATCATTATTTATTGTTGTCGTTTGACAATTATTCTGCGTTGTTGTTGCAGTCGATATTGTTGATGATGATTTTAATTCACCAAATTGTGTTGTTGTACTATCAACAAAATCTGTTGATGATGGTATCATATCAAACATATTATTAGCCGCTTGTTGTTGTTGTTGAGATGCTGTTGTTGAATGTTGTTGTTGTTGCGAATTATTATTATTATTATTATTATTATTCGTTCCACCACTTGTTGTTGTATAGGCTGCATATAATGTATACGGTTTATCCTGAGCATATAATGTTGTTGTTGTTGTACCGGGACTATTATTATTCATAACGTTACCCGTTAGATCACCATTTGAATATTGTGAATATCTTGATAACGGAAAAAAGTAAAAAAATGAAAAATTCGGTCAAATAACAAAAATTAATATTTTAGTAAAAAAAGGGTTAGTGACCGAAAAAAAAGGATTGACCAAATTCAATCAAATAATAATGTTGTCATATCATAAATGACTAAGTGATTTTAAGTTTTATGACACCATCATTATTATTTAGTTTTAGTGATCTAATCAAATGCGTACAAGGACTATAGTTTCTTCTTTCCTGATTCTTTTTTTACACGTGTCTCTTTCCTCACTCGCTGGCATAGAGATTCGGCATCTAATCAACAACAGAAAAAAAAAACACCGACAAAGGATATTTTTTCCTGAAATTTCGGTATCGTATTACGGTATCGATCCAAAACATTAAAAAAACAACAACAGTTTGATCTACATTATTTGTTTGGCCATAAAAAAAACAATATTGGGTTTGAATTCAAGAAATGAATTAAGCGACAAAAAAAACTGCGAATATAAGAAAAGGGTTCAATCAGACAAGCAAACACAAAACGAAAAAAAACTTAATTGCTTCAAGTGAATCTTTCTATTAACCAAAACAAAACAAAAACAAAAACATGAAAAAAGATTGCCGGCTAAAATAAAATTCTATGGAAAAATAAATTGGAGCAAAATTTTTTATGGCTAAAATTTGAAAAAAAACCCATAAACCCTCAGGCACATATAATGAACATTGTGCAATCCCAAAGTGAATCAAATTGAAAAAAAACCCAGCCAAAGATAAATTGGGATTGGGAAAATCCAAACGTATGGCTAGCAATATATCAGTATATCCGGTCAGCCTAAATTAATTACTGGATTTTAAAAAAAATTTAACAGAAAAATTTACCCATTTGTTAATGATGATGCGGATGATGATGAATATGATACATGTTGACTTGATGATGAAGGCTGTTGTTGTGGTTGTTGTTCCAATACCGATGAATCAGGTGATGTTTCTTGTTGTTGTTGCCGTTGTTGAAATTGTGTACTTGATGCAACAGCTGCAACAACAACAGATGAATTATTTGATTGTTGATTTATACCACCGGATTGCTGTTGTTGTTGTTGTACACGTGTTATCGTTGATTGTTGATGTTGCTGCTGATTATGTTGATGCGGCTGCTGTTGTTGTTGCTGCTGTCCATTAGATAATGGTATCGTCGTTGAATTTAATTGTCCATGTAATGCTGTTATTGTTAATGATGATGCCGATGTTGATGATGATGATGATGATGTTGATGATGTTTGACCACCAATATTCGTTATTAATGGACCATTATTATTTGGTGAATTGCTACAACCTAATCCAGTTGATAAAACTTGTCCACCATTTGGTGATGTTGTCGTACTTGCTGTAACAATTTGTGTCATACCACATACACTACCAACACCACCACCTCCGGTTTGTATTAAAGTAGGTGTTTGATGTTGTTGTTGATTATTCATTGTTGATGGATGCTGTGAATGACCGCCACCACCACTACCGGGCCTTACTAATTGTGCACGATGATATCGTACTTCATCTTCAACTTTTTCTCGCTGTTTTTTAGACATTCGGCCGAATTTTACCGCTGAATTTAAAAAAAAAAATCATAAGAATCATTTAATTTTCAGTAAGAAAAAACAAATACATACCATCACGTGACATTCCTAAGGCTAGACATTTTTGTAGACGACAATATTGACAACGATTACGATTCACTCGATCAACCACACAATTTTTTTGCCGTGGACATTGATAATTAACAACCGATGATTGGCTACGACGAAAAAATCCTTTACATCCTTCACAGGTAATAACACCATAATGTACACCGGATGATTTATCGCCACATACTTTGCACGGTATTATTTCAATTTGTGCTGTTATTTAAAAAGAAAAAAAATTAGAAAATTAGAAAAATGATTTTTAATCACAAGAGTAATAAAATAAAGAAAATGATCTTTAAAAATCCAAAAGCATTTGAACTAAAAATAATCTCAAATATACTTTTAATCGGTATCATTGAATGTGTTGAATCTGGATCAAAAGTTGTCGTTTGTTTGGATGATAATAATAATAATGAATTATCATCATCATCATCATTATGATAACGATATTGAACATTTTGTTGTTGACGAATTTCTCGATCCAATACGGTATCAAGAATTGAAGAAAATTTTGATTGATTTAAAGTCAACATTTTATTCATTTGGTGAAAATATTTTAGTTTTCAAAATTACTATCGATCAATCGACAAATCGTTATCGTTGTCGATGTTGACCCATGCAACTGTCGATAAAGACTGGAGTCAAACAAACAAAGTCAAACGAAAAAAAAACTTGGAATCTTTTTCATCATTTATGGCCCCTAAGGTCTACTTTTTTGTTGGAAAGAAAATTTCTGTGTGTGGAGGCGGTTCTTAAGACGACATGAAGGCGGTAACCAAAGAAAAAAACAAAATAGACATATGACCTTTGACCATAGTGTAGTGTTGATGCTCAAACTATCTACCTTAGCGATAATCAAATACGAACCGAAATCAAAGAGAAGAAAAAAATGGAAACGGATCATTTCACAAATCTTCTCATCTTTTTTTTCTTCTTCTATCCAACCATCTGTTCGCGTGTTTATTACCCTATGACCTATGAACGTGTTCACGTGTGTGTGACTTATTTGAAATCCATTTTTTTTGCTACTCTTATGATTTCCTTATAAGAAATCCATTCAATCGACAACAGTTAAACGACCGTTGAATTTTCAGTTTCAGTCACAGGTCAATGGCTACCTGATTTTTTTTTTGCTTGCTCTGTTCATTGTCATTGTCGTAAAGGTAAAGAAATGAAAACTTTTTCCTTTTCTTTTCAGATATGATAATCGATCCAAAGACACACACAAACACACATGTAAGATGTACGATGACCTTTTTTTCCTCCCTCATCTCTTTCTCGATAAATGAAAGGATTATTGACCTTTGAATGAACCGAATCTTAATGTTCCCTATGGATCATCAACGACATCATCAAAAGGTCATATCACCTTATGTCAGGTAAGCAACACGAAAAAAAGGACAAAGGTCAACCCTTTTTTTCTTGCAACGACAAACATCATCGTCATTTTTCCAGGGTTAAGATTTAAAAATAGCATACTACACAATAACGAACCAACAACATCCACCAAACACAAAACCACCTGAAAGATCAAAATACCGTAACCATATGTCAGTGAGAATGAAAATTCTTAATCTCTTGTTAATGTTTATTTTTCCGATTGAATTTGAAAAATAACCATTTTTTCCCATTCAAGATAAAAAAATACATAAATTATTTTTGACCTTTCACCTTTTATCCAATGAGGAACGATGATAATCCACATTCAAATAATGATAATCAAATCAATCAATCGATCGATCAATGTTCATTCTCATTATCATTATTATATCTTAATGGAGCTAAAAGAGTTATCCAAAAAAAAAAGATTTCAAAGTTAAAACAAGAGAAAACGACAAACAAACAAACAAGATAAGAAAGGTCAAACGTTTTTTTATTTTCTCGTTAAAAAAAGTGATGAAAACTAATAAATAATAATTTTGTTGGTGATAAAAAAAAAGGAGAAAAAACGTTAACGCATGTCAAACAAATACACACCATAATAATAAAATGGCGCCGGGCGTCATTCAAAAACAACAACAACAACAAAAACAACCACAGAAGTTGTTTTTTTTTATCCAAAAAAATGTTTAGTTTTTTCTTTGTGTCTCAAAAGTTTTTTTTCTTTCTCTGTCTCTCGTTTCTTGATAACAAAAACAGCAAATCCAATGCAAAGGTCAATGTTTAAGTGTTAAAGTATCCGACCAAGTTATTTATTGGATTTACAACGAAAAGAATAAAGAGTTTCGGGAACTATACTGATTCTTCAAGTATTCGATGATACTTGAATATCCCTAATGATATAGAACCAAACAAATAAAAAAAAAGGCCCCAAAATGTCATCATCATCAAACTATAGTAACCATAAAATATTAAATTCAAATGAATGTTTGTTTCCCCTCCACTTTTTTTTTGTTTAACCAGAAAAACCAAAAAACCAAAATATTTTTCATTCATTGTCATATCCAAAAAGACGTACTCAAGCCATACATTTATATTCACAAAAAATATATATACAGGATCGACGAAGGTCGACGAACTTTTTCTTCAACAACAACAACAGCAACCAGAAGAAACATAACGAGAAAAAAAACGAATCCAAACCAAACCAAAAAAAAAAAAACCTAAAACCAAAATGACCAGAAAATAAAATCTTATTACAAGAAATGTATACCACTACTACTACTATTACTATGTTGGAAAAAATTATATATCAATCGCTGGGCGTGACGCCCGCATACTGTTTAAACATACACAAAAACATACTGTAAATTTGACCCATTTAAATTCATACTCTGTTTGTGTGTGTTGGTTGGTTGGTTGATGAGATAATAATATTGCTTCTTTATGGCTGCCTATTCGCTAAAATGACTGATTGAATGAAAAAGGAATGAATGACAGCCAAAATACTATCATCACAAATATAGTGAGAGAAAGATACTGATAGCAAAGAAAAAGAAATAAAGAGAAACAATGTTGGATTGACTGACTGACTGACTGACTTGAATGATGATGATGATGATGACGATGGCAATGTTGTATACATAAAACCCGGAAGAATAACAAAACGAAAAAAAAAATGACTACGACGACGACGAATTTGAATTTTTGTTTTTTCGTTATTTTCATAATTTTTTTTTTCGTTGTTGGAATAAAAACCATGTTCAAAAGTCTTAGTCAGTTAATCAGTGTTGTTGATAAAAATGTCCATATTTGAAATTATCGATAATAACCAATTAGAAATGAATTGATCATCAATTTGAAAAAAAAGTTTGTGTGGATGCGATATGTGTAGGTGCGAATGAAAGGCGTAATTCAAAAATTCGTTTCAAAAAATTTTTGATCGATATAATTGATTAATTTAACAAAACAAAATCTAATTGATTTCAATTTGTGTTTTGCTGAAAATAAAATATGAAAAGAAAGAAGAAATTCTCAGCAAAATGAATCATCAACATCATCATCAAAAGTAAGGAAAACTTGAAAAAATAGGAAGTAAAATAACCGGATGATTGAATTTTTCATCATCATCATCAACAGCAGCAGCAAAACGAAAAAAAAATTTCTTTACACACTGAATAATAAAAGAAGGGGGTAAACACAGTGCAAACAAAGATCAAAATCATAATTATCATTATGAAACCATTATTGATGATATATATTCATAATGAAAGAAAGAAAGAAAGAAAATTGTTTAAAAGATATCTTTCTTTTTTTTCAGAAATAAATGAAGGAATCAAAAACCAGAAGAAGAAGAAAAAGAAGAAAAAAAATGATGAGGAAAAGAAAGAAAAAGAAAAAAATATCCAAGGAAAAGGTCAAGGCGATGTCGATGAATGGCACCAACAAACAAACAAAAACAAGAGAAACATCTAAAATAGAGACAAAGTATGTGTGTGTGTGTGATAATGGCAATGGAAATAAATTCATTCTTATGTCAAGCGCAACAAGATTTTTTTTTCAAACGAAAGAAAAAAACAGGTATTTTTTTTGCTCCCCACTCAATATAACACAAGTTCATCATCATCATCATCATCATCATGAAATAATGATCAGTTAAGGTATGAAGAGAAAAAGAGAGAGAGAACATAAAAAAGACCTTGTTACGCAAGTTTTGTTACGTTAGTTGTTGTTGTTATTCATCAGCATCATCATCAATGTTTTGTCCATTTGTAGAAGATGATGATAATGATTAACCAAGTAACAACAAACACCAGATGTGTATGTAATGATTATAAGTTTTTTTTCTGCTGTTAACGGTATCAGACCGTACCAGGTACCAGGTTGAAAAATATACTCACACTTAGTAATGCTGAACGTTTGATTTCTTACATCAGGTGAGAAAAAGAAAAGATTTTTTTATTGAAGTAAAAAAAAAGAAAAAAAAATCTTTTTAAGGAAGAAGAATAAAATGATTCATCTTTTTCACATTCTTTTATTATCATTTGGTTGAAATTTTTTAGAAAAATGATGTAAACACAATCGGATTGTGTTTAAATCATTATCATCCAAACAACAACAACATTAACAACAAAATTACGTTAAATTTAACACAAATCTATTGAAAACATCACTGAAAAAAAGTAAACAACCCGTCAAAATTTGGAAAAAAAAACATATTTTATTGAAATAAATTTCAATCGAAAGGGGGAAATAGAAATAACCAAAACAGAGAGGGGAAAAACTATGAATACAAAGAAAAGAGGTTAAGTATAGTGTGACTTCCGTTCATTTCTTTAGTTTAAAGTTTAACAGCAGCAGCAAAATCTTACCAAAGGAAATTTAAAGGTAAAAAAGTTGAATGTACTGTGAATGGAACACCAAGCAGAAGCATACTTCACACACACACACATAAGTCTCACAGGGTTCATACGTGTTCCAAAAAAGAAAGAAGGAAAGAAAGAAAACGTTTGGGAAATTTTATCGAAAAAAAAATCTGACCTCTGAGTTGAGGAAATGTTGACCCAGGTATGTTTATACGCCTTTTTACCTTTTTTTTCATTTATCTTGCCTGATAAGTTTTTTTTTCACTGGAGTTCCTGGAAAATTTATCAGACAAATAAAAAAGGTAAAGAGGTGGTAGTGTTGTGTCTAGTGTGAGTTTGTTGTCGGTAGTATGGTTGAGATGCAAATCTGTGGGAAAATGAACTTTTGAATATTTTTTTTTTCACTTCGATTCGATTATTTGGCCCGAACCAAACAAAAGATGCTAAAGCATCTTTCCTTGTTTTGCATTTTTTTTTCGCTGAAAAAAAATTTAACCAGAAAACTTTAGACCCAAAAATTTTTTATGCTGATTTCAACAAAAAAAAGAAAAGAAAACCAAAAATCTTTCATCATCACCGGAAATAATCCAGGTGCAAGTTAAATGAAATGAAATTCATTAAAATTTTTATACATAATCATCAAAATATTTATATACTGTGACACACACACACAAGAAAATTGATGTATATTTCAAGTGATGAATGTGATAATTTTTATGTAGAATTGTGTCAAACTAGCTAACTAAAAAAAATTGTCATTAGTAATTAGTCAAAACAAAAAAAAACCTGAATATCAGATTTGGGAAATTTTTCATTTTTTTTTACATTTTCAAGAATCCCAATCGAGAAAGAATAAAGAAATTTTCCAAATTTAAAATCATCAACAAAAAATCACAAGATTATTGTACAACAAGTTGACCTCAATTATCATTTCTATAGTTTCGGCGGGATTATATGTGTTTTCGGGATGCCAAAATAATAATATAATGATGACGGTGATGATGAAAAATGGTTGAATGAATGTTGTGACATTGATTTAAGTCAAATAAATAAATAAACAGAAGAAACAAGAATACCAAGAATAGAAACATCTAGATTCGTTAAACATCTTTCTTAATATATTTAAATTTGTTCTAGATTCTTGTTTGTTTGTTTGTTTGTTTTTTTCCGATTCTTTTTAACGAACACAAAACACAACAACAACAAACGGTAAATATCTTATTCATATCTTGATGAACTTAGCCCGAAAAAAGTGAACATTTCGAAAACTTTTTTTTTTTTGTTAGGGATTTTTGCCAAACAAAATCGGCCAGAAAATCGTATTACATCATTTATTTTTGTATGTCGGTCGAAAATTTCAGTTCATTTGTTTTCTATACTATACGGGTATCCTATGTTTGTTAGTGAACTGAAACAAAAATTATGACCGAAAAATAAATCGAAATTGATGATCGATGATATGTGTGTGTGTGCTGCTGTTTAGAGTGCAGATGTGATCCAAAATAAACATGTCAAACATTTGGACAAACAAATGAATGATCGAATGAATTTGGTTGAAAGAACAGAATTCCTTATGAATTCTAATGATGATGACTATGGGTCATTAGGATTCATATGTTTTTTACTGTTTTGATGATGATGATGATGATGATGATGGATACTGATCATCATCATCATAATAACAATTTTTCAACTTTAAATCAACTGAGGATACTGATGATGATGATGATGATGATAAAGTAAAATGATGTTTTCATCTTTTTTTTCTGTGAATTGATTCGAATTGATTGAATCAATTCAAACAACAACAATATTATCTGCGCAAACGCGGAAGTAGTTTGTTTTCATATTTTTTTGTTTTTTGTTTCTTCGTCTTGTTATTGATGATGATAATGGTGGTGGTGGTATTTTTTCCAATCATTATCATTTGCTAAAGATATGGTCCAAGAATGGATCGATTAATCGAATTAATCGATTAGTAGTGTATGGAAAAAAGGGATGTTGTATTGGAAAACTTTGTAAATTGCAGAAAAAGCTTGATAGTAAATACAAATTTTCATTTAAAATTCAAATTTTTTCTTTTGCACAGAAAAAAAAAATATTCTAATGAGTAGAGTGAATTCATTGAATTTTGATTATGGTGATTTTATTTTTTTGATTCATCATCATCATTAATAAATCATAATTCCCGATTATGATTATTCCCGATTTGTTTGTTTCAACGACATAGGGAGAGAGAGAGAGAACGAAAAAAAAATTCAAATTCAATAATAATGAGGTCAACATTATATGATATGTGTGTCGAATGTTCATGTCATGTCATGTCATTTGAGTAATAAATTTTTTGGTCGAATTTAATCTCGATTATTTCGGATTATCATCATCATCATCATATAATGAGATTGAAAATCATTCATATTAAAACACGATATTTGCGGTTAATTCAGAAAGAAAATGACCCATAGGGTCATTGAATGGTAGAAAAATCTTTCCGAAAGAATAACACACACACATCACAATATATATAGAGCGAATTTTCGGCTATGAAAAAGTTACAAAATAAAACTGAACAAAATATTCTGCGGCTGTTGTTGCTGTCCTATATTTTCTCTTCAATTATTCAGAATAATCGGAAAAAAATAGCAACAAAAAACAACATAGAAGTAATAAAGAATTGTATAATTTATCATTGTAAAAACAAAATAAAATAATCGTGACATGAATTGGTTGTTGTTTTATATCATTCGGTTGTTTTTTTTAATCATTTTATCTTTTTCTCAATGTAAAATTTTATCCAAATTAATCAAACAAACCCTTTAGGCATCTTTTCATTTGAAAGTTTCGATTGATTGATTAGCCTTTTTTTGGATCGATTAACTCTCAATTACAATAATGAGAAATAAAATTTCTCTTCCTTTCATTTGTATCAGTTCCACACGCACACACAAACACACAACATACAAGGCCTTACATCGTTTCAAGTTTAAGGCAATCAAAAAAAAAAATTCAATGATTTTTCTCATAATCATCATCATAGTAATAATGATTTTTTTACAAAAAAAAAAAAAAATTACCTTTTATCGAACCGGATGATGGTTGTGGCTGTGCTATTTCCACTTTAGTGGTAAAACCGGTACTCCACGAAGACATCGTGGTATGTAAACCCGGTGATGATGTATCGGGTAGGATATAAGAATCCGGTGGCGTTAATCTAGTTGTCGATTCCAGGTTGATAGATTTTGTTTGTTCCGTTGTTTTATTAACGGATACACAATGATTACAACAACAAAAAAAAAACAAAACAAAAATTAATGGAATAAAATTAATGTGAAAAACGATTGAACGAAAAAAAAACAAATTTCCAAAAAAACAATAGCTTCGTCGTTGATGTTTTCAAATGATGACAAAATGGGGAATCAATGTTGAAAAAAAATGATGATGATGATGACAACAATTCTATGAAACTCCCAACAAGAATTTCATCAGATTAAACAAAGAAGAAAACTATAAGAGGCACAATGTGTGATGAAATAAGATTTTCATCAAAAATCATTATATTTTCATTTCATTTTTTCATTTTCTTCATTCATTCATAAATTGAATTTTTTAAAAAAATGAATGAAAAACGGATGTAATAAGTTATCACGTCATTCATGAATGGAACAATATTGTTCGATAATAATTCGAATGTTGTTGTTTTGATGATGATGATGATGATGATGATGGTCAGTGTTGTTTATTTTGATGATTGAATTTAATTTCTTTTTGACATTAATTTTTACTGATTGAATCCGAGAATAATTTTCGCTATTCATGATGATTGATAAACATTGAATTTTTTTTTTAAATCACAAAAAACAACAACAACAATTTGGATGGATAATTTTTTGAAATTGAAAAATTTGAAAATTTCGTTAACCCGTCGGATACATCATCGATTTTGACGATCAAAACAATCATCAAAAACACATCACATTCGAAGAATAAATCAATTTATTTCGTTGTTGTTGGTGTGATATTAACAATAAATCGATACAAACACACACACAGTAAAGTTCCAAGAAACTAATTTCAATCAAACAGAATAACCGCGATGATGATGCTATTGATCAATAAAATCAAACAATTTTTCTGCTGCTGCTGTGATGGATCATAAAGACACAAACACACACACACATACCACGACGAGAAAGAAGAAAAAAACCGAATATATAATATGCTAATAAAGTACAACTAAAAACAAAACAAAAAAAAAAATACGAAAAATGTCGATGTTCGTTGAATGAGAGACGAAGAAGAAGAAGAAGAAGCTTGGATACAGATCTCAAACGGGAAAATAAAAATTGAATGAAAATTTTTTGTTGAACTTTCTTGAAAGAAGATGATGATGATGATGATGAACGAAAAAGAAGGAAATCAACCATAATCTCTACAACAACATTATATTTTTGTTATTGTTGATGTTGATGATAATGTTGATCATGATCATGGAGTCTTTTTTGATGATGATGATGGTGGTGGTAGTCGGTTTCTTAGTTTTTTTTTCTTCATCATCATCATCATTTGGTCGGTCGGATTGGTTGCTTGTTTCGGGTCGGATCGAATCATTGATATGGTTTGCTGTCTCTTACGACGACGACGACGACGATCCACAATCGTTTTTTCAGTTCACCAAAAAAAAAAAAAAAAAATACCAAACATCAACACTTGGCGAACGTCGACCTCTCTCTCAACAATTTTTCAAAAAAAAAAAAAAAATATTGGAAAAAGACACGCCCATTATTGTATAAGCTCTCTCAACAATTTTTCAAAAAAAAAAAAAAAATATTGGAACAAGACACGCCCATTATTGTATAATATTTAAATACCACTACTTTGTTGTTTTTTTTCAAAATTCCCATATATATATATAGAGAGAGAGAGAAAAAAAAAGGTAACCAGTATCAATATTACATAATAATGCTACTATCTCAGTTAGTCAGTCAGTCTGTGTATTTGATCTGATGGAATGTTCTGAGAGAACAAAAATGTATATAGAAGAGAGAGAGAGAAAGAGAAAGAGATGATCATATAATTTCATTTGATTATTTTTTTTTTTTTTCAAAAATATCTTCCGTGTATGCGCAGTTCGAAATTGAAATTGGTTAGGTTATGTTATATTTTTTCATTTGATTACAGAAGAAAATAATCAAACATTGCGCATCTTTTTTTTTAAAAAAAAAGACCGAAAAGAAACCAAAAAAAAGTAATCCATTCGATTAATGATTATGATGATTATCAATAAAGTGGAAACCAATCCTTTTTTGTTTTTTGCTTGTGAAACTTTTCACAATATTGTCACTTGTTGTTCAGTTGAAAAGATCAATCTTGTCAGTGAATAAATTAGCTGATTAGCCGAATGATGTTAAGATGTTTTGTTTTTTTTTGTTTTTCTGGTTATTGTTTCTCGGTGAAAAAAACAAAAACAAAAACAAAAATAATTAATTAAAGCGGAAGTTTTTTCGTTTCTGTAATTAATCAATTAGTTTTCGTCTGGTTGAATTTTTCTTCCCAGAAAAAAACCACATTTTTTATTTTGAATTGATTCTATAAACCAATTTGGTCATTTATTCATTCACGGCCATCCAAAATCATTATAATGTAAAATGTGGCGAAAAAAAAATGTTTCCCGAATGAAAAGAGAAGGAACAACAACAACAAAAAAAAATTACGGGAAAATTTTTTTACGAGAAAAAAAAGGTCTTTTCCAGAAAATCCATTGATGATGTTTCCACATTTATTATCCTCGTGTTCTGTTGTTGTTGGATTTTCATCATCATCATCATCATAATCGTTTGTTGTCGATGATGATGATGGAAAAATAAATTCAAGATCATCATCATTATCATCATCTGTTGTGTATATAAGTGAAGAAAGCCATTCTCTCCATTCAATAATTTTCTTCTTTTAACGAGAAAAAAAAAATAATATCTTAACAAAAACAACAACAAGAAAAGTTCACGATCGTGACCCTGTGACCTTTACATCTAATACACATCATATAGACAATTTTTTTTTTCTTCTTTTGCTCACTTCTTTTTGCACTGTAGACAAGAGATTGAACATTTTTTTTTTTTTTTTGAACGGATTCGGGATTGAATCCATTTTATTCATTCATCTAAAAGTTTGCCAAAGAAAATATATATTTTTTTTTTCTTCTTTTGCTCCCTTCTTTTTGCCCTGTAGACAAGAGATTGAACATTTTTTTTTTTTTTTTTTGAACGGATTCGAGATTGAATCCATTTTATTCATTCATCTAAAAGTTTGCCAAAGAAAATATATATTTTTTTTTTAAGAAAAAAAAATTACTTGCCAACAAACTTAAAATAATAATGATAATGATGGCGTGATGATGCCATTAACCGAAAAAAACTAATATCGCAAAGAACATTGACTATCCAAAATATTGATAAAATCTGTTGAGAGGAAGGATGAGTGATTTTTTTGACATTTTTTTTTGTCAAATATCAAAATTTTCTTCTTCTTTTTCATAGAATTTATCATCATAGAATTTATGAATAATTTTCGAGAGAAAAAAATTGATTGAGTGATTTATCGATTGATTGATTGATTGGTTTTTCGAGAGAAAAAAAACAAAGAGGTGTTGTCCGGAACAGTGTGAGAAAAAAGCAAGAAAGGAAAAGAGATAAACATTCGATTTTTCCAATTCAACTTTAAATGACTGATTACGGTTGAAATAGCAATGATGATGATGATGAGCAACAAGTGTTTTCATTCGATTTTGAAATTTAAATTTTTTAAATTCCCATTCATTTGACGAAAAACAAAACAAAAATCAATTGAACATTATGGAAAACTTTTTTTTATTGATGATGATGATGATCCTTACTTTGTCATTTGTTTTATTGTTCCATTGTTTTTCCGAATGATTGGTGTGTGTAATTTTATTTCATTCAATATTCGTTGACCGAAAAATTGCAAAAAAAAAAATTGATCTCACGCGTTTTTCTTTTGAAAACAGCATGCACGTGCTGCTTGTTTTTTCTGTTTTGTTTGAAAAGAATTTAAATTTTTAATTTTTAAATCAAAATTAACAAAATTACGAAAGAAAATTTTCTTTCCGCTGATTTTATTTTAAAGTTTACTTTCAAATCAAAAGGATTAGAGGTCAATGTTGTTGTTGTTAAACAGGTTAGGAAAGAAAAAATTGATTGAAAATTTAATGATTTATTAATTGAATTATCATCATTATCATTTAGATTTTCATAATCATTTTATTTATGAACGTGTCATGAATTTTTTTTTCTTTGAGTTGTGATTTCTATATCCGGATTATGTTTTTTTCTTTGAATGATTGGCGTGATGGATGGTCAAGAAAGGGGAAAAAAACAAAAAAAAAAAGAAAAAGAAAAACAACACAGCAGGATTTCAATCAATCAATCAATCAATCAATCATGTTCGATAAATTTTTTAAATCTTTACCGTTGTTCAATCACTCAAACATCCATTCAAATACAAGAAAATTCTTTCTTGTTTTCCCCTCCTACGCATAGCTAGCTGAACAAAAAAAAAATTTTTGATTTTTAAATTTTTTTTTTTTGATCAAATTCCGCTGGTTTATGTCGGATCAACAATCGATTAATCGACACACACACACTCACACACAATCGATTAACTTTTATTACGAATCGTTCATTACTCAAACGTTCGAAAACAAACATACATTATTTCCCGAATTGAGCGGAAAAACATTTTTTTTGTTGTTGTCTGATTGTCAATCACAATTCATTTAAGCTGTCAAAGATTTTCATTTCGTATTGATTTTTTTTTTCATAGAGAAAAATAACGACAAAACCGGACTATTGAATGTTTTTTTTTTTCGCATACATTTATCACTTTGTTACTTTTGAAAAAAATTCGAAATTACCAACTAAACTAAAAAAACCTGGATTGAAAACAAACAAAATATTTTTATTCCAAATAAATAACCCCAACTGAAAAATCCAAAAAGGTTTGTTTTTTTTACTTGGATATTTTCGATCCATTATAATCGATTTTTTTCCATGCTCGATAAAAAAAACATGTTGAAAATATTTCCTGTCCAATGCACACACACACACACATCGGGCAGTAAAACTAGGTCAACTAGCTCTCGCTACATAATCTGGTCTTGTCTGGTGGCGAAAAACAAAATATTTTACCGGTAAAAAAAACAAGAAAAAAAAACAACACCGGTTATTTCGATAATCGATGATTCGTGTGTAACCGGGAACAATATTTTTTTTTGTTCTCTGACTAAATCCAACAACTGAAAAATATTTTCTCTTTGCCACCATATTTATAATGGTAAAAG